AAACTAACAAAATAAATTAATTAATCAAAAAATTTAATTAATGAAATGTTATAGCAATGTGAAGTAAACAAATCTACTTGTTTCTTGCTACCAAAATATTTATCAAGTGTTCCCGATTGAGACTGAATTGTTCTACTTTTAGCTTCTTTCTCTTTTTATTTCTAGAACTATATTCCTAGGAAACATGACTATAACCACAATTCAATCTACAAATCGCAATTCACTGATTATCTCATATCTAATAGCAAATAAATTATAAAAAATAATTAACGAAACAAAATTAGGACAAAAAAAATAAGAAAAAATTATTTATTCCACTAAAATCTGATAAATAAAAAAGGTAAAAAAAAAAAGGACAGATCTATTATTTCACTAAAATCTGATAAAGAAAGAAGGTAGAAAAAAATTAGGACAAATTTATTTATTCCATTAAAATTTGATGAGAAAGACAGAGAGAGGTCTTACTGTGAGAGACAGAGAGAGAGTCGCCGCCGTTGATAATTTCCAATCAATTTCTGCCATTTCTCAATGCTCTGCTTATACTTGGTATGCTTCCTTTCCTTCGTCACTTTGTGAGAGATTGAGAGAGAGATTGAGAGCGTGTATGTATTATTATTCTCCTTGAGCCACCAACACTTTTTGTAGATATTTTAATTTTAATTTTAATTTGGCCAAATCACACTTATAAATAAATATGGTCCAACAGAATATTTTTGGACCCTTTAAATAGGCCCTAAAATAACAAAAATAATTTGGGCCAATTTTAATTTGTAATATACTATAATACTTTATTAAATTTGGGGCCCCTATTTTAGGCCAATTTTTTGGGCCTAAGGCACAGGCCTCAATGGCCTTAGCCCAGGGCCGGTACTTCCTTTCTTCCATTCTATGTCTCATAGTTCTGTACATATATATCTGTATATATATAAGTTTAAATTTGTTATTTTGCAATTTTATTTTATTTTTCATAATATTTTTTTATCAAGGGGTGACCATTGGTTCAATGGTTCAGACTTGGAGTCTTGGGACCACTACTTTGTACATTATGCCAAAGGTTAGGTGTGTACTCAATCTTTTCTTTCCCAAACAGACATTAATGTGTACTAACAACAATGATAGATATCACTAATTTTGAAACTCTAAAAAGATCACTAATGACATGGCACTCAATAAAAAAAGAAAAAAAATACAACACCAAGGCCAAAACATCAAATCATTTATGGTGGGGCCCGCTGCCACATCATTAGTGATAGCACTAATTAGTGCTCTCACTCATTTTCCGTGTACTAATTGAGTTTTTTTTTTTAATAATATTTTTTGTTAGATATTCGATCGATTGAACCGACCACCAAACCGAACTCCTCAATTCGGTCGATTTCGAATAGTAATTCGGTCGATGAAAGATGGTTGATTTCCTAACCCAAATGTATCAGTTCGGCTGGCGGGGCAAGGATAAACCCAAGCCGAACCGATCCATGCACACCCCTAATAACAATGACCAAAAATTCTTATATAATTTCCAAAAGCCCACCACCCCAATTATTTTATGTAACGCCCCCATTTTCATGCCCAAATGGTAATACAATAATCATAGCCCTTTTAAAGTAAAACTGATAATAAATCCTCATACTAGCATTACATGATGTAAATAGTCTTCATGCGATATTACAGTTAATCCAACAACAATTAATTAAACAACAAATACCCCCAAAGGTTTACAAGTTTCCAAGGCTTGAGTCTGGTTACACAAAACGGTTATTCAAACCCACACATGCAAAGCCCTTGGCTTACAATCAGAGTCATAACAAATGAGCACATTATGCTCTCTGCACACGCTTTCACACCTTCAGTTAGGTGGAAATACCACATCTTTTCCTGCACAAAAATCCCGTAGGGTAAGCATAAAGGCCAGTAGGAAATTCTTAACCACATTTTATACAAGTCTTGTGAGATGGAATGCTTATGCCATGCCATGCCTTTTTGAAAGTAAAACACACTTTCATCTTTTGAAAACCATCATGCTCAATAATGTCATACAATTTCAACTACTCAACATTTATCAAATTTTATTCAAGGGGCGGTAAATAAAACTTTGGTAATCCCTAAGTCAGTGTCTGCAAGTGGACTATACAAGTACTACCAATTTGTCATTTTTACCAGTATCAACTGGAGGGCTCAACACCCATAATCTGTCATTTTTACCAATATTGACTGGAAGGCTCGACACATATTCTCTACACTACCTTTCAAGACTTGCCACTCTATTTACCCCAAAACCATTTCATGAAAACTTGTTTCTCAACATTCTTTTCTCAATGCAAGTTTTTAAATCAACTTTCAAAGTTCAATGTAATCAAATGAATTAATATGCCAATGCAATGATTAATAATACAACGTAATATTTCTTCCACTTTCAATACTCCCACACAATATTCTCATTGTGATCAAAATTCTCATTTCTCACTTCGATGGAATTTCACAAGATGAATAAATACTTTTATTTCAATTCATCCAAGGGACAACACAATTCCCACATTTCAAACATTTCAAACATTTCTAACAACTTAGTCATTTCAAGACTATATCAACATTTTTAAACAACAATTTCCAAAACTTCAACAATTCTCTTATTCCATAGAAAACCATCATTTATATGTAATAAATAAATAATTTTCAAACATCATTTATTTCGGCACACAAAATAAATATAACAACATATTCTAAAGATTTTCAACATCTTTCTTAAAAATCTCCAATTTTTAGGTTTTCTCACCAAAAACCATTCATCTTCAATTATTTGAGAAGATCTCACCAAAAACATCTTTCTTTCATCAACATAGTTCAAAAACTCTCAATTTCTATTTTTAGAAGGAAAAGAAAGTAAACCCACTTTTAAAATCACTCATTTTCTTAAATCAACAATCAATTTTCAAAACTAATCAAGGGATGATTTTGAAAATCATCTAGATCTTACAAAAACATATATATAACTCAAAGAAAATCCCTACCTCAAGCTTAAAAGAGAAGATGAACAAAACAAGGTTGAAACTCCAAAGTTGTTGAAACCAACTTCTACTTAGATCAAAACGAAACTCTTGATAAGCTCTACACTTAATCTCAAAGGAGCAAAGCAAGAAGATGCTTCCAAGTGAGTAGATCTAAAGATCTTTGAGCAGAAAGTGATCTTGGAGAGGATGGAAGAGTCTCACGGCTTGGGGAAAGAAAAAGAGAAGAAAAGGTAAAGAAAAGGTTAAGTGAAGGACCTATTTATATTGCTAGGTTAAAATAAAATGATGTCCTAAAGTCAACCCAAAAGACCAAGTCAAAATCGCCAAAAAGTAGGCCCAAAACGGACTAAAATTTGGAAAAAAAAGTCTGCAGGGGTCGACCCTTTCAACACAGGGGTCGACCCTATGAAGAAACTTATGTTTGACAGCATGCAAGAGGGTCGACCCTCTCCTAGACTGGTGTCTACCCTATTTTCCAGCAACCAACACATAGACATAAGAGGGTCGACCCTCTCTAGTCTGGTGTCTGCCCTATTTTCCAGCAACACTTCCAGAAACTTCACCAATAAGTAAGGGTCGACCCTTAGGAAGGCTGGTGTCGACCCTAGCATAGAATTTCTAAGTTTCCAAGGAACTTTTGATAAGAATATGCGAACAACCAAACCCAACAAGTTTAAATCGGATTATACTCTTTCAAAACCAACCCATAACGACACCAAAGATTTCTAAAATAAAAATAAAGGATTCGAATACATTTTCCCAAAAACTTTAAAGGACACAAATACTACATTTTACCAAAAAAGCTAAGGGGTAAAATAGGAAATTCAGGAACAAGCTAAAGGCAAATAAGCAACCCAAGACAAACCTTCTCAACCAAAGCAATCAAAATTTCTTACATAATTTCCAAAAGGCCACTACCCAAATTGTTTCACCAAGGTAAAGGGCAAAATAACAAATTTCAAAACAAGCTAAGGGAAAAATTAGAAAGAAGAAGAAGAAGAAGAAAAAGAAAAAGAAAAAAAGAAAAAAAAAAAAAAAAAAACCACAGGCAGGAAAGTGATTAATTTCCAAGAGGCCACTACCCAAATTGTTTCACTAAGCTAGAGGGCAAAGTAACAAATTTCAAAACAAACGAAGGGCAAAATAAGAATAAAAAAAACAACCTATAAGTAGGAAAGTGATTCTTATATATATATATATATATATATTAAGGTAAACTATAATTTTAACTTCCGAGGTTTAACTCAAATTTTACTTTAATTTTTATTATTTCAAATTAAATAATTTCGTCTTTATTTTTTAAGTCAAGTTTCAGTTTGGTCATTTCATTCAAATTGAAGATTAAAATTAATTATTTTAGAACACTTGTCAATTTCGTAAAGTGTACACATAGAAAGATATAATAGAAATTTGAACGAAATGATTAAATTGAAACGAAACTTAAATTGTAGAGATTAAATTGTTTACAATGAAATAATAGGGATCAAAGTGAAATTTAAGTCAAATTATAAAGGTGAAAAGTATAATTTATCTTTTCTTTTAATATTATTCACATGGGTTAATTACATTTAATATCCTATTATTATATTGAAATTTTATTTCAGTCCTTCCATTTTAATTGTAACATATTCTTTACACATTTAAGTGAAGGTAAAATATTACTGTTCTATTCATTTAATGTTGATGAGGATGACGAAAATTAACATGTACATGCAACATTTTTAAAGAAAAATATAAATGAAAGTCGAGTAATAATATACAACCAAAAAATTTTTACAAAATTTTTATACGTAGTGATGTGGTTCAATATAAACCATTCACTTTACTAAAATGGTATTGTGTTTTTTATATGAATTTGATGTATGAATAACATTTTCCATGAAAGTATTAGCAATTGGTTGCACTTAAACTTGTGACAAATCAGCGTTGTGAACGCTTGAAAAAAAAATAATAAATAAAAAGAAAAAGAGAGAAGGCACTATTCAGGCTTGATAAAAACTACCATAGAAGCAACTTGAAGTGTAAATGATGGAAGAAATGAATCTAAATTTTTACTTTTCCTTTATTATTTTTTTAGGTTGGGGCTACAATCACAGGCCAATCTGTGCCTGGCCAAAACATTGTTCTTGTAAGACCAAGAACTTTAGGTCAAACAAATCCTAAAGGTACATGCTATACGCATGTTATCTAATATTTCAATTTCTTACTCATTTTGCTCCTATTCTCTTAATAATACTAACTGTATTTTTTTATTTTTTTTGGGACACCTGCTATGTATAGGATTGTGAATAAACCATAATTAGATTGCTTGGATAAATTGTTGACCTTACATTTATATTTGATGTTCTTGTAATTGGCATATATCAGTTTCAGTTTTACTTTCCATATAACTTTTAAGTCCTTTTTTACAAATTAGAACACAATGGTCCAGTTCCAATGGAAGGTGATGAGGAGATTTTTGAAGAAGAGGCAGTTTGCAAAAATTGTTTTCACAATTTGAAAGAAGAAAATATACTGAAGACAGAATGTAAATGCGGTAACGCCCTTATCCATGAAGAATGCGCAGCTAAATGGTCAAGAACGAGAGGTAACAACAACTGTGATTCTTGTGGACAAGAGGTTCAGACATTTCCTGTTACTTTGGTTAGAGGGCTGAGTAGTTCTACTCAAGTGGTTGATAGAGAAGAGAGCAATAAATGGAGCTTGTTTTCATGGTTGATGAGGTAAATCCAATTTTGCAAGGTATCATCATATATGTAGATCAAATTGACAATAAAAGTGATACAAAGTGCAATAGAAGTAGTAGGAGTCGAGGTTGATAAATTGATTATGACATATAATTTAACTTCTTTTCAGGTTGTATTGGGATCATACATTTGGATAGGGATTTCTCCGATGTCATGATTTGGTGCAAACTACACCTCATTCTTTAACAAGTTATCATAGTTTGAACTTTGTTTGTGTGCACGCCTTGTATTATGTAGGACTATACAATTATTATTTTTCTCTATCGCTGTGTTTGGTTAGGGGATTTGGGAAGTGATTTGGAAAGAGAAAGGGAAAAAATGTGTGAAACTATATGAAATATAAGTATATTTTATTTACATTTCATCTACCTTTTTTTTTTCTTTTTTTAAATCTTTTCCCAAATTCTCTAACCAAATACAGCATATATGTATTTGGATTAGGTTGTGGAATCCGGAATGGGTTTTGTCTTTTAACAATTGAGTGAGATAAGAATTCATTGGTTGGTTGATAAATAGCAACTTTGGGAATGTAAATCAAAGTATAAAAAATGCAACGGATAAAATATTTAGATCATACCTTTAGATGATAGAACCTCGTGGGTAAATCACGTGCTTCCTGAATCTGGTCAATCAACCCAGCACACAAACCACGGTACAAATGGCTTTGATCGTTGTTTTTTGGGAGAGAGTCAGAGAGAGTCTGGAAAAAATGGTTATGGGTAAAAACCACATAACGTATATCTGATATATCGTAATCTGATATATTAAATATATTATATATATAAAATATATAATCAAATATAACAGCCAATATCTATCTATCCATTTATCCATATCTATTGATATGATAGATATAGATATCCTGAAAGGTTATCCAAATAAGTTTTGAATTCAAATTCAAACTTACATGGATAAGGTTCAAAAGGTTCAGGTTCAAAAGGTTCAAAGGGTCATGCCACCTGGGCGCCCAATTTCTAACATCTCCCACTCGCACATGAGTTGGCATGACACTGCCACATCTTTATCTCAATCTCCCCAAAAAAGAACAATCTCATACTGGCCAATGCACCGTGCGACTGCTAAGAACACCTGAATGTGGGAGCTCTATACTAGAAACTCAAAATGAGCCAGCATAGAGACATCAACCCAAAAAGAACAGAAATTGTGTCTCATATACCCCAGACTCATCTAATTACACCGGTCCAAAAAACATCTCTAATCCCTCAAAAAGAGCATGTTTGACCCTCTCAATTCTCGCAATATATTCACACTCAATTCGCTTTTTATATAGAGCGATGTGAGTTACCGGCAGTGAATATACAACGGTGGTGTAATACTAGATGATCTTCCCTTTGCCCTCATGCCATTTAGTTTAGGATTGACCGCTTTCCCAGTGATGTCCCTTAAGGCCGAATCATACATGACCGCAGGCAACATACCAAAGTAGCAGAACATCAACCCCTTACCTTATGACATAGTCAAAAGTCACAAAAGGGTACATAAATGAAAGTCATATCAATAATGACATGTAAGACTCACACGGTGAGGAAACAGGGATCCATTCTCTCACCTCATTACTCGATCGCCAAGCACATGTAGCATGAATACATGTTACGGTGGAGTAACTCTTCCATAAAGAGTGACGTCATACTCGATACACCGTACAGACATTAGTCTAGTCGCTTTTTAGCGCCTAACCTGAATTCTCTATTTGCTCGCCTTCTAGGCGCCAAATGAGATCTCGCATCTGGCTAATCATAACAGGCACAACATGGAAAGTGGGTACTAGCATCCATGTTTGGTCCTTAACACGACCTCATCTTGGTTGTAACCAAGGCGACATGCATAGTGGATTATATAAGCCTCTCTTGGCTCCAAATAAAAATAAACCACTAGTCTCAACCTTAATCGCTCCCAAGCGCCAAGGGCGATTGCTCGTGTGAGTGAGCCAATCTTGCCTGCTGACATCATCATCTGCTAATCATTATGACACAAACCATAATAGTGTCAACATCCCATCATCTCAAAATAAGTGGTCGATTTAAAAAAAAATTGACCACAGCTTGCGCAATTATAGATTCCAAACATAAGCCTTATCAGCACCTCTTGCGATAAGTATATACAGCGGAATCCACCATGTGCGCCTCACATGAAGTGATTTAAGATCACTATCTCTTGCGCAATAACCTCTCTAAAAATATTTTGGTGACCAATTTGCGTTCATTCTTAATGCGCCCAACTAGCGCAGATGCGCCCAACTAGTGCATTGAATCTTACAAGGAGCAAATTAATATGCTACTAGTAAAGCATTTTATCCACAATCTAATGAGCTTGGTCAATGTCTAAACAACTCAGTTGACCATTTACCAAAGATAACACTTATCATGCCGAATACGCCCACATAGCGTACTTTAGGCTCCCACAACAAAGAAAAGATCAAGGAATATAGGTCATCTGTTTCTCTCAAAGACAATCCGAGGATTCACTCAATAGCTAAGGCTCTGGCTTTTACCGATAGGTAAGTCAATGGGTTTGCAATTTTGCATCTAGAATCATTCTAGGATATTCCTTATGTAAGTCATCGAAGACAAACTGAGAATTTTTCCAAAACAATCCCTAAGGATCGTCCATTCGAGCATATAAATTACATGACCCATGTCCATCATATCTAAAATAGAGGACTGGCCACCCTGGGTGGCGACAACCTTATAAATTCTTGGCTCATAATGACTAAGTAAGGAAAAACTTCTTTTGGACCATTGATCATGCCTTAGTGGTCTTCATCGATCATCGTTAGCCTATCATGGCTTGACGAAATCTAAGAACCACTATTTAGATAACTGTTTTAGGCTGTAAAAGATTTATTGGAACTAGCAACCTTTTTGTGCCCCTAACTTTTCACCATAAAAGCAGAAGGTAAATCCATACGGATCTACTTATCCAATTCTCCAACGAGAAGTTGGGTCACAATGTCCACAAATCAATGTTCCGAACTTATGTCAATCATAGCCTAAGTAGAAATAACCTCACTCCTCAAGAGGAAGTCTTCTCATAGTCTACACTTTCCTCAATGGTGCGACTTTTCGGTATCTAGCGAGCCTTATGCCTCAACAATGACTATCCAAATTACACATAACTTTAGAACAGTTTCGCGTCATAATGGAAAGTCAAACAAATTATAGAAATGGTTAATCCTCAAAGCCTTTGTCTTAAACTGCGCAACATTAATCCACTTTCTAAAAACAGGGGACTAGAGCCTTTGGCATTATCCTAGGCTCTTTATCATCTTGCGGAGCAATCATGAATGTTTCCCTCTCAATCACCCAGTGATGACGTGAAAAATTTTCACATTCGCTACCACGCAACTAAGAACGAAGAGTATTCTTCTGTAATGGAGTAATCCATTAGTAGGCACATCGCTCCCACTGTCCCTAGGATATTGGAAATTTCTTTCCATTCTCAACTAGGCTACATAAAACGCTATGCTTAGAATTCTCTATCTTATAGAGTTCCAAAACTCTATTCACGTCACCTTTACTAAGAAAACTTTATGTGACTTAGTTACACTACCACAAAACTGCTTACCTATATGC